GGCAGCTTTCCAGCCACTCCTCTCCCAGCCTCCTCTCCTGCTTCAGCCTCCCAGCAATTCCCACTGCCTGCTCAGCCGTGAAAGACCGAGCGGCCCTGTCCCTCCGGGGCTAGAAAACACACGCCACAACTCACCTCGCCAGCGACTGGGGGCACCTGTGGGACCTTTCCCCAGCACAGCATGGGCGGCAATGGCTCCTTCCCAGTCACACGATGCTGTGGGCCACCGAGAGCACTTTTTCCTGCAAGGAAGTGAAAAACCTTGTGAGATTTCACACGAGGAAAGCAAGCATTGCTGCTGAGGGATGGCTACGACAGGGCAAATCAGTTGGTGCTGCAAGTTAAGCACAGCAGCACAAGCAATCTGCCAGCTCACAGCTTGGCCCAGCCTCCCCGCTCTGCTTCCATGAAAAAAATAGGGAGAAAAATGGTATCTCACTCCATCACTGCTGCTGAACAACAGAAAAAGTGGCTTTTTCCCCCAACAGGAGCAGCCTCAGAGTTGACTGCTGGCTTCGGGCAGCGATTTGCACTAGTTACAGGCAATGACTTCATGTTTCAGGGTAGCAGAAACCGTAAGCCTTTGCCTCCCCACCCCGGACTGACAACATGGGGTCCCACCAGACATGGGAGACTCAAGTCCTGGACAAGCAAAAGAGACGCTGTCACCAAAGGGTGGCAAAAGGTGACATTTCTGGAGAATCAATAAAGACCGAGTCAGAAGTTTCTCAGAATGTTTAATAAATTAAGGTGGAAAAGGAATGGTAACAAACGTGGACAACAAGAACAAACCATCAGTTCAGTTCATTGAATCAAGTGCACGGATTTCTCTGTAAAAAGAGAAAAGAAGGGAGAGGCTAAAGAGCCTCTGCAAGCTGTGGAGTCCCTGGAGAGGAAGGCACTCATGCTCAGTCCAAATTCTGCTTTCAAAGACGAGTGACGCAGCACTGGATGCGAGTGACACTTCACTTCCTTTGTCAGCTCTTTCTGACCTTGGAAAAACCGACGCGTTCGCCCCCTGGTCTCCTTCCCTGGTTCACTGCCATGAAAACGGGGTTTTCTCTTGGTGAGGACTGCTGCTGCTAGCGGCTGTGGAGGGGTTTGGCGTACACCGGCTCCATGAGGTGGTAAATGAGGAGCAGGAACAGGCACCCAAGGCAGACCAGGCTCATCACGACCAGGAGGATGAAGCGGCCGATGAGGAAGGTGTCAACGATCTGCAGAGAACAGAAAAAAACCACGTTAGGGTCTGGGGGTGCTCCAGGAGCCCGGAGGGAGCACGCCACATCCTGGGAAAGAAAACGGCCAGAGAAGATCGCCCCAGGAGGAAAACCTTTGGGGTTGCCTGATGTTTCTCCCCTTGCTTTTCATGCCTGACAGGGGCGCTGTCTGTGGGAAGCGGAGTGTGCGACCAGCGCTTGAAAGAAGAATCCCTTTCCTCAGAAAAAAAGCCACTCGTAGGTAGGAAAGCACGGCACTGAGCACAGGGAAGAAGCACGAGCCCAACCCTTGCAGCGCTGTGAGGAGCTGTGTGTGATTCTCACCTTTTAGGAAGGAAATGGGGGGAAAAAGGAACAAACCAGATTAAAAAAAAGAGGAAGAGC